GTTAGACCGTAAAAACAAACTAAAAATTATTTAGACAGAAAATATATAAAAACCATTAGATTTTGATCAATAAGCTAGAGATTGATGTCTAACTGTTGTGAGTATTGAAATATTAAACGATTATTATGTAATAAAATAAATCAAATATATGTATTGATATTCATTTATCAATATTGCCATTTAAATCCATAACAAATCCATTAGTAAAATAGCATTTTCTTGGAAATTAAGTCAATGCACTCAATATTATATAAAGTAAATATAATCTTAAATAGATTTATAAATAATGTATAAGTTTTTATATTTGGATATAATTTTCTACAAAACTATGTTTTTAATGCTCAGAACGTTAGCGAAAAGTTAGCAATTTTTAGATAACCTGCTCTACAATATAAATAATACAAAAAGTTTTAAAATATTTTTTTTATGAAAAGCTTTTCTCATATATAAATGAAATACTAATCCTGAAAATGGGATTTTATTTAAGCCCTGATTGACAAAAGAAAGTGCATGTTTTAAATTTCAATATATTTAAAATATATTAAATATATCTCATAATAACATTATTATTGATCGAGTTTTATATGTGAATCTGAATATTTTATAATATAAAATATTATTTTGTTAATTAGAAAACATATTTTGTAATTAATTCCAAATATCAAGAAATATCCATTTATTCTGTGGTTTTAACAAGAATTTGCTTTTTATATATTATATTACATGCGATTATAACAGATATTCATGTTTTGCACTAAATTTCATTTGACATGTAATCCAATCGAAACTAATATAAGATTATTGAGCAAATGAATGCAATGGAAATGCATTTAATATCCTATTAAATGATTAATACATCGTTTCAATGCAACTCATCAAATGAAATCACATCACAATTTAATAACTTATTTGCAAATAAAGAAAAAACTACACAATTATAACATCTAATAATAAAAGGATTAATGATTGCATTTACCAAACAAATTGTCTACTTTTGGAGAAGTAATTAAATGCTTCCCATAATAACCTTATAATGCATTTATCAAACAAATAATTACATAAATTAAATATAACACTCATTTGCAATTAAAATCAGTGTTTAATTTATAAAACAAAGGCTTATATTATGTAAGTGTAAACATGATAAATCGCTACACGTGTATAATTAAATTATACAATTCCTAGAATAGTTATAAATAAATACATAAATATTTTATTTACGATAAAACAAAACTAATAAAACTAATTATCCTTAAATCTAACGCAGAGATGACTCAATGGACACAGTATTGAATCAAATACGAGTCAACTGTACAAAGAGAGTGATCGCTGGGAACGTGAGGTCCGTCGCCGACCATACAGTGCCAAAACCGGGTGCCATCAGTCCCTACGGACACCATTACGTGGAGGGAAGCGCCGGACACGAGTCCATACTCGAGTCGCACGCCAACAGTGGCGTCAATGCGCTCATCTATATCGGTGTCGTCCTCTTATTGTACATCATTTTCATGACATTCATTGTAATGAGATATGTGTTAATGAAGTCCCACAGCAAACAACAGCAAACCACTACTCCTTATTACTTCGGCGGCGGCGCTCAGGGCAGGAATTTTGTACGTATTGTTTCCCATGGGTTCATGTGATACACTTAGGGCTCACCTCGAGGGTTGACAGTGAGGGCTCAGCACGTGGCTCTCCGTAATCATTATTTACCATGACTAATTTAATAGATTTTATAATCAAGTAATCTATGTTGAATTGAATGCACGTGTTTTAGTAATATATTTAATAATACAAACACAATATACACACAGAATATTCGTTAAGTTTCTTATTTAAGTTACTTTTTTGGCTCAAAACAAAACTAATCTCTTTATTGTCTGATACCAAACGTATATAAATCTTCAGACGATTATAACGGGTATTGAATTGCAGCGGCATTTGTCGTATCATTAATTTTAATACACTTTTATATATCGTATGACAGAATAATATAACAGTAAATAATTATTTACATAATAACACGATATACGAGACCGTTATCTAAGTCTCGATACCATTGAATAACAATAAATATAAACTTAAATTAATATCCAATTCTCGCAATTAAAGGGCGGAACGACGACCACCACAGCCAACACAACTATGGGCGGCGCGTCCGTTAGCGGCTATCCGGGGGGCGCGGGTGGGCCCACATCGGTGTACATAGAGGGCGATGAGACGCCACCAGAGATCAAATTCATTGAGACAGAGCTGTGACTATAATAATACCAAAAAAACAAATACAAAACACTAATAATAAGACACTATTTGATCGTAAATTTTCGGGAGAGAGTGGAAGAGAGAGATATGAAACTCCCGTTTATGTGTGATATTATGTATAGAAAAAGAGCATTCATTCATCACTTATTTATTGTCATTAAAACTGTTTGTTGTCGACGTTTCCTCTTCTTTCTCTATCCTCTACTTTCTGTCAACAATTAATTCATTGAAATAAATGATCACTAAATGCAATATCGATCACAATTATTATATGTAACATAATAATTGTATATAACTTATTGGTTGACCAAAACAATCAGTAATATAATCATTGAATTCATTACAATTAAGAGTGAATGGGAAGGAAATAAACATCACATTATTTGTTTGAATATGTTTTTATAAAAGTTTTCAAAATTATGAATTAAATCATAAACTAATGAAACAATCGTTTAACATATAAAGAAGAAATTGAATAATTTCTCAAATCATTGATGGTTTTTGTTTATATAATGTT